ATATATATATATATATATATATATACGTGTATTTATATTTATATCTATTTTCTTTCACAGTGTTTACAAAATGGTCCCCTTCAGAGGAACTGTCACATGCAAGGGACAGCAGCAATTCCTTGTGCAAGGCCAGCGTCCAGCTGACTACACGTAGGCGAAGTGTGTGAATACGACGATCAGGTTGGGTCATTCTCTTCTTATTTAAATAGTGATGACGTTCATCAATCATCAGTGGGTTTAGTTAGTGTTCGCGGCGGACTTGCTCGGTCTTCCATGTATTGGAAACATACACTCAACGCTTCGCAATTCGTTCAAGACATAGTCGATGAGGGTTATAAAATTCCATTTCAGTCAATTCCCGATACTGCATAAACCCGTTGTCGGTTGTTAAAGGAAAAAAGCTAAGATTAGTTTTAGATCTGCGGAATGTTAATAAACATCTGTCCGCACAGCCTTTTCGCTACGAGGATCTCAGATCGCTAGCTCAGTTGTTTGAAGAAAAATTCTGTTTTTTACGTGGGATTTAAAATCTGGTTACCACCATGTCGACATTTATGCACCGCACACAAGGTTTTTAGGGTTTTCATGGGTTTTTAATGGCGCAGTGCGATATTTCACATTTTCTGTGTTGCCGTTTGGCCTTGCTTCGGCATGTTATTGTTTCACTAAACTATTGCGTCCATTAATAAAGAGATGGCGCGGAATGTCTCATGCCGCTTTGTTTATCTGGACGATGGTATCTCGGGGCATAAACAGCGCTTAGATGCTGTCGCTGCTAGTATAATTCACAAGAACAATCTAACTTTATCCGGTTTGGTTGCTAATGATGAGAAGTGTCATTGGGAACCAATGCAGGTTGGGGAATGGCTTGGCCATTTTGAAATTCCGCCTCGCAAGATAGAGAAAGCCAAGAAAAATATCGAGTCTGTTTTGTCCTCAAAGTGTATTTCATATAGAGAACTTGCTAAAATTGCTGGTTTTATTAATTCTCTCTATTTAGCTGTGGGGCCTTCGGTAAGGCTTTTCACTCGGCAGCTTTTTTATACGATTTCCCAGCGAGGCTCCTGGTCCGATTACGTTACTGATATTCCGCCTCTCCTAGTTGAAAAATTAAGATTTTGGTTAACTAATCTTGGCTGTCTTAATGGGTACTCCATGACGCCCAAGGTGTCGGCCGAACCACTCTATATATATACAGATGCTAGTAGCTTTGGTTACGGCGGTTATTTGGCCTCATCGCATGAATTTAAAGCTCAGGGCCATTGGACTTTGCAACAAAAAGTCAAAAGTTCAACATTCCGAGAATTGTTAGCTATATTGCAGGTGTTAAAAGTATTCCTCAAGCATTTAGAGCATAAGAGGATAAAAGTATTTTCAGACAGTCAAAGTGCGTGTCGCATCGTTCTAGTTGGTAGTAGAGTTCCCGAACTTCAACACATTGCAGTTGAAAATTTCAACCTTTGTTTTTTCAGTGACATACAGATTGAATCGCAATGGATACCTCGAACACAAAATCAGATTGCCGATGCATTAAGCAAAGCAACTGATTTAGATGATTGGCAGTTACAACCACAATTATTCAACTTATTACATGCCAAATGGGGTCCTTTCAGCATCGATCGGTTTGCCTCTAGTCATAATAAGCAATTGCCGCGATTCAATTCACGTTTTTGGTGTCCAGACGCTGAGGCGGTTGATTGTTTTACTCAAAATTGGTCAAACGACACAAATTGGTTGTGCCCGCCAGTGTCTTTAGTTATACCTACGATTCCGGCATATGTGCAGCTGCAAGGGTAAAGGCACGCTTATTGTGCCATATTGGCCTTCGGCCATTTTTTGGCCTATGATAATTGCCCGGGCCAGAGTGGTATGCTTCATTTATTAAAGAAACATTAGTTTTACCTAAGTGTCCACAGATGTGTATTCCTGGTAAAGGGCAGTTAATTGCATATCAGAGCAAGCCATCGGTTTTCATGGGTACACCAAGCTTTGACTTGTTGGCTTTGCGAATTGCATGCATGTTAGCAGTTCGTGGCCTTTAGCGCCGATGCCAATTTTTGGCCTATTTCATTAATTTGTGCTCTTTCATTATTTTGTGCTCTTTCGAGCTAAGAATAAAGAGTATGTAGTTGACCTTGTGGTTTTGTCTTGTCATTGCCTGGCGTAATATGCCTTTTTTGAGCTGCCCGCGTTTTACAGTTTTGCTATTTATATACTATTTATCAATGTTGATTTAGACGAATTTCGAGTTGGTGTGTGGAAAGATTGTCTTCAGATTCAGGATCGTTCACTGTTGCGTTTGGCGTTGTCACTTCCCGAAGTCGTGTTGAGTGCTAAAGCTCAGACTACTACGTCACATTATGCTTATGCTTGGAATCGCTGGAAGACGTGGTCTAAGTCTAAGCTTGGTGTCGCTTATCTTCCAGCTCAACCCATGTGTGTTGCGTTGTATCTACGTGATCTGTTAGAATCTGCACAGACTTCTTCTCCAATCGATACCGCTATTTATAGTATTCGATGGGGACATTCCATGGCTGGTTTCCCATCTCCGACCGATCATCCAATTGTCAAATCAACTTATGAAGGTTGTAAAAGAATTCTTGCAATATGTTGCGACGGTTGGTGGACATGCATGGCCACAGCACCGCATCTCCAGCCGACCTTCGTCTACTCTTCATTGTTCTAGTTGGCTACAGCGGGTTCTTAAGTATAAGTGAAATACTGGCCATTCAATTAAAGCAGATAGAAATTGTTTCGCATGGTATGTCTATATTTGTTCCAAGACGTAAGAACGACCAGTTTAGATCGGGAAATACGATTCATATAGCCAGATCGGGCAAATCCACTTGTCCGGTGGCTATTACCGAGCGACTGTTCCAAATGTTACCTGATAATTCTGATTCTTGTAATCCAGTTGTACGTACAGGTGTAGAATTAAGTACGGTAAAGGTGGCCGGAGCTTTCATGAGTCCCGTGGAATATCTTATACTACGGCGAAAGACATAATCAAGAAAAACTTGGGTATATTTTATGACGATCTCAGGAAATTGGGAACTCATAGTCTAAGAAGCGGAGGTGCTTCAGATCCCGATTGTTCACATTTATCAGATGTATCCTTGCAGGCCCATGGTGGATGGAAATGTGTTCAATCGAAAAACAAGTACATTAAACCTTTAACAAAAACACTGTATGAGGTGTCTTCCAACTTATCTATCTAGATTTATGAAGAATAATCAACTTTCCAGTTAATTGTTCCGAGGTTTTCCCAGGAGTTATATAAGTTTGAATTTAATGACATTTATAGTCAGAACTCTAGAGTTAGAGATGTGTGATTTTATATTCTCCGTCCTGTTTTATGCAGGTGGGTTTTTCACCTCAAGTTCATATTGAGCAAACTTCATTTTGTGAATTATTATAGTTGAATGTAGTCAATCGCAGTATTGAATTGATGTAACGTGTTGTATTCGAATGTGTAAGCAGCAATAAACGCAATGTGCTCCAAACAACATTGGCTTGTCTGTGTTTTATTCGATAGAATTAGATTAGATTGCAATTCTTTGACATGCAATGCTTCAATGTACAGTAAAACCTCTATAATTTGTATTACATGAAGTACGTGTAACA